CACCGGCGTAATACAGCCAGTACTACCCACTAAAACCCAACAAAACCTTCCCCCGTCTTAATGGGGCGTCGCAGGATCGCTTACGCATTCAACTACGACGCTCCGACGGCAGGTCTGCCAAAGCAGACCACAACAACCAAGGGGTTGCTCCAAGGTCCACTCTGCTATCAGAGAAGTACCAGGAGCAACCCGCATGGTACACCGCCCCCCGAAGAGGGCCACCTCCCACCGCCCACTAAAGTGGGCAGTGCTTTCAATGACTATGTCATCCTTAAAAGTTACATTCGTGAACATTAATTTGATTTCTAATATATTTCTACATCAGTCTCTTTTAAATTAAACCTGTAAAAGTAGAGCTATGGAAATTCCTAAATTTAATAATAGCAATAGTAAACTATTGAATTTGTTGTTGTGTGAAAGATTGAAAAACTTTATGGGCAATACAATTCATAAATATACCTAATTATATTTATACTAATATTATAAATGTGAAAGTATGTGAGTATGTTTGTGTGTTTGTTATTTGGCGCAGAGATAGATTATAGTTTGGAATACCACATAGACTACTTTTTATCCGGGAAAAATGTCCGGTTATCGTGGGATAGGTTTGTTTTTGTCTTCCTAGAGCAGTTATAAAATGCTAATTTTCGACCACAATTTGTATATAATGAAGAAACAATAAACGACATAAGTGGTTACTTATTTAGATTACAAATATAAGTATTATATGAAGAGGTTCTTAAAGTCTAGCTGAGTTTCAACTAGACAGCACGCCGCCAGTCGCCAATGTCACTCTCTGAGCTTGTGTCATTTAATGATAACACTTGTTTGCTTACGATTTTGCAATGTGCATATCTCTGGTTACTGTGTAAGATTTGGAAACCACTTATAATTCTTTATAATAAGCAATATGATATTATATTTTTAACGACTTTTAAAATTAATATCTCAGCTATCTGTTATATATATATATATATATATATATATATATACATTCATTATAGCAGTATGGTAAACGTACTGCGCCGACCCCAAGTAATTTGGGAAACGGGCAGGAAGAAGAAGAAGATATATATAACATATATATATATATATATATATATATATATATATATATATATATATATATATATATATATATATATATATTATTTATTAAAATTACTGCAGTTTATCTATAAAATTATTAGAATTCAACAGAATTTGTACAGAGTGCATCGTTTTACACGTCAAATATTATAACGAATAGTGCAGTGCAATTTCTAGTTTATTTATTGCTACGTTATAAAATGAAGAGGTTAAAATCTGACTTATATTGTGGCAGGTTAGCGCGAAGTGTCATTTTGCGCAAAGCACTAAAACATCAAACTTGTGCTTACTATGTAATTTGATAGAGCTGATACTAAATCACTATTTAAAAAAAACGTTATGGGCATTATTTACTGTTTTTGAGCTTTTAACCCTCACGATATATGAATTAAAAAAAAATTTTTGTCATAAAAAATTGTAAAAAGGAAAAAATGCGAGTTTGGGTACACACATAGACTGAAGTAACACGTTGGCTGCTATTAGGTACCTAGGGATGAATGAATGAATGAATGAATTACTCTTTATTGTACACCCAAAAACAAAAAGAGAAAAGAAAATATACAAAATATAGAACAAGGTACAAGAGGCGGCCTTATCGCTAAAAGAGCGTTTTCTTCCAGGCAACCTTACGGTGTAGGAAAAAGTACTAAGATAGAAGGTGCGCGAATAAGACATAGATAAAGAGACAATAGAAAGAGTATATATTTATACATATATGTATCATACAAATATATAATAAATACAAAATAAATACAAGTAAAATATAATTAACCGATAACTAAATATTATAAGTGCATAAATAAATACTATACCTATATTATACATATATAAATATAAAATATAAAAAGGCAAGGATGCTAAGTTGCTAGTTTTAATAAATCGGTATAAGTGTACTTACATATATACATTATGGTAAACCCAAGATGAAATAGAAAATGAAATTTAGTTACCATAGAAAGTTAAAAGCCCGACGAGTTATAAGCGCAACTAAAAGTTTATTACAGTACAAGCATCAATAGAGCCCTTAGTGAACTTCAAATAGCCAGAACGTTGAACTCGATTCAGGTGATGAAGGTTGTTGAACTCACAATAAAATGTAAACTTTGTTTACAAACAAACCTAAATGGTTCCATTCAGTCGTTGATCGCGAGCCCTCGGGATTTCTGGGATCCCAGCGTATCCCGGCCTTGAACTTGTGCGTGACGATCCCGGGACGTTTACCTTGACTGTAGATCCCTCACCCGCTAGGGACTGGCGTCTGAACTGAGATGAATAATTGTAATGGAAGTGTTGGAGAACTTTATCAGACATGGTTTTGTTTTTATTGTTATATATGTACTTACGTGTTGTCTTTGTTTTAATTTAAATTATAAAACAAACATACATGGTTTATTTAACTTTAAAAGAATATTAAAAATAATGTACTTTCAATAAAGATTTCTTTTATAATTTTTACTTACAATTTTACGGTCTAAAGTAGAATCATTTTACATAAACCTGTAAAAATAAGCAAGACAATATTATGGAGTCGGTTTCAAAAAGGTCTAAGTATGCAGATGTAGTCCTCTGAGAGTGATTAGATGAGACACAGGCTCGATCATGAATATAGATCGACGATGTTCGTCTGCACACTAAAAAAGCAACTTACCTATAAATTATGCAAAAGGCACTATTATTCACGTTTCGATTTGTTTTACTGTTAAATATTTGAAGCATATACCAAAGATAAAAAAAAAGTTATATAAGATTTTTCATTATAGGAAAACATGTACCAGTAAAACATAAATAAATTACTTAGCATTTTTCCCCACCTTTAGAGGTGGTTTCTTTTTAAATTTTAGTATTAATATATTGATATAGTTTGTGCTATACATACAAAATCAAATACCTATGCGAATTAAATACCTCTCCCCCTTTTCAAATCTATACATACATATAATAAAATTCTAACTAAGACGAATCTGTACATTAAATATATTTTTGAAAATCTTATCTAAATAGACATTATTATCGATACAGAGGCCGAATCTATAGTTTTTAGAATTTTTGTCTGTCGTCTGTCTGTTACCGCATCACAGAAAAACCACTGGAGGGATTTTGATGAAAGGTATGGCGATAGCTGGTTATCCGGGTCAACATATAGAATACTTTTTATCGCGGGAAAATGTCTCATTTCTAAGAAAAAATACAAAAACTACAATGTACTGTATACTAATATGTAAAACCTAAGAATTTGGTTTTTGGTCATCTGAACGCGGGCGGAGCCGCGGGCAATACTAGTTAAAAATAAAAATGGAAGTTTTTTAAATCTAAATCAAAACGAATGAAGGAAACTTTACAATCGTTTAATTTCTACGATGCGGCTTTATCAGATTTTTGTTTATGAAATATACAGTTATTCAAACACAAGTACCTATTACTGTGTATGGCAGTCAATTAGAGCAGTTTAACACCTGTTAGCGTGTTGTGCAATCATTGTCTATCATAACACCTGTAACACTGAATTTCAAATGTTCTGTTTGTTACAAATAAAAACAAAAGCGTATATTTATTGAGCATTGGTTAAAACCTATTTATATATTTATGTTTATTGTTGCACATATCTATACATATAATAAAACTGTAGAGGTCGAATGTCTGTACATAGAAAAAAAAAATGCTAAAAACCGAGTCGGGGGGATGTACGAAGAGAAATAGAGCAAACCCAGTTTTTTTTTATATTTTTATTTCTCTGTCGGTTTGTCTGTTTGTACGGACTAATTTTAAAAATTGTTGGACCGATTTAATTTTAATTTTGTATATTGATATCTTATATCCCCGGTCAACATATTAGATACTTTTTATCCCGGAAAAATGAACGGTTCCGGTGGGATAGATCTGTTTGTGCTTTGCTAGATGCAAACCCAAGCGAAGCGAGGGTAAGCCGCTAGTTAAATAATATATTCTTATTATTATTGCTAGCTTTTCTAAATAAGATCATGTTGATTTTTCAGATTGGAAAATCAATCATTATGATATTAGCCATTACATTTACATTTTTATATCTCTTAAAGTAATAGAAAATATTATAAAGATTTCTAAAATTATTTTCAATAGCACCTATATCAATCATATTATTTATACCTTGTTCAGTTATAACTGCTACGTTTCCATAGAAAATATCTAACAATTTTCACAATTTTTTCAACGAAATCAAATTTCAATTGAATTCAGTTCGTTTGTTTAATCGATAAAAACCAACACACCTGTTCAGCTCAGCTCTAGTTTAGCACTTGTTTGAACAGCGATAGTTCACGCGGATCGTGACGATAAATGAAACTACTATTACCCGGATGTACAGTTGCCTGGGTCGCAGAACTTTTGTATTATGCAATAAGTTTTATCAATATCACTACGACAAAATCTGTATTTGATTTTAAAGCTGCACTCCAGATATTATAAATATATGTATTAGCCACTTATGCTGTTCGCTAGGTGCCTTACGCCATTAGACTATAAGTTTCTTCAGACCATAATCTATCTGTATACTTTTCATTCAATCGTTTTAGCATGAAAGAGCAAACATACATACATATAAACTTCTGCATTTATAATCTCTAATATAAAATACGATGATTCAAAATGGACCGATCGATCTCCAACCTGGCTAGCGTTTAAATCACGGCCGAGACCTCGATTTTCTCTCGACTTCATTCAAATTGTTGTATACTTGTAGTTGTAAGTAAACTTATATTAAGAACTCAGCCAACTTTACAAATAGCGTAGAACAGTCGTAGTGTAAACAAACCTGACCTAAGTCCAAACGATGATTATCAGAGCTGGGTCACTTCGAGGCGCTGACCTTTACTGTCTTTGGGAGCACTCGACCAAATTTCTTTTATGTAAATATAAAGTACAAATTCACTATTTTAATGCCAGATATTCGACATATTTGTAGAAGAATTGACATATTATATGTAAGAACTCATATAAAATAACTCTTATAGGTAAATAAAAAGCGACTAAAAACCGCTAATATATACTTCGGTTACACAACTACGACAATAGTAATTTTAAACACGATAGCGCATATTTGTGCGCATAAAAAAATCTATATAGTTTTAGAATAAAATATAAAAAAATGTTTTCGATCTAAAAGTTCAACCCGATACAAATATATATTTAGTATAGGAAATGTTATATATTACAATATATCTAAAACACAAAGTTAATAGTATATTAATAATATGATCATTATACGTGCATTTTATAGAGTTATATTTTTTTTAAATCCCTTAGCTAAAAAATATTATATTAAAATTATTAAAAATGTGAAGCAAAATAATATCGATTCTCCGTCGCCTGTGTCGATCGACGCCCTCACTACCCGCATTTTGTCGCTTATCTTCATACTCTATTGGGATACCTGCATTGAATTGAATTGATAATTTAATTTTAATTATTTATCATAAAAAAATTGTATTTATTTTTACATTGTAAATTGTTATCTTCTTTTGAGATACTTTGCAATTACATAATGTATTCTTAAAATATATATTTAAGATGTATATATTTGTTATATATAGTTACATTATAAGAATTTAATAATATTCTTTATATACTTTAACTAATATGAATCTAATTGTTTACAGGTCTTACAAGACATCAAGGTAAATATATAGATGGAAAATTTTTTTTCTGTTCTTAGCTATCTGTTTCGTTGTCGTATAGCTTTATTTTTTTGTTGCGTTTATGCACGTCTTCCTCTAATCTAGATTTCCATACTTCTGACGTGCTTGTATCTTTTATTTACTTCTTATTATTCCTAAAATATTATTTTGAGCATGGTTTTACCAGAATGTGATTAATTGTAATCGTAGATTATAATTATATTTCATATTAATTTCAAAAGAGAATTTAATCACTTTTTCAAACTTATAAAAATTTATGGCTTGTGTCGAAGTTTGAAATTTTTTTATATAGTATTGACAAAGTCCGCGAGACAGCTCAAGTAGTCTAGTATTTTACATGCCTATATAAAATAACTAAGACATCACATCCGCGAAGGTTCGATACGACTGGAGGGAGTGGGGGGGCGGTCGATGGGTCGACGACCCCGGCCTGAAACCACCCTCCACCCGACACTTATTTATTTATTATTTCGTATATATTGACGGAGGGGAGATGAAATTAGGAATATCTAATATTTCGTAAAAGCGTACAAATGTATTGATAGCTGTAAATATAAACTATGAGAACTTTATAAATACATAATCATTATAATATTACGTGTGCTATTTCATACTAAGAATAAAAGCAAACTCTTAGGTCTTACGTAAGAGATAGTTCAATAAAATTAAATTGAATTTAACTGCTTCGTTCCTTTTTATAACCAATTCAAAGATGAATTGTTGGAACGTAATACAATCAAACCCTTGAGTTAGTATTTCTTCTATTGACAATTGCAATTTAATTTAAAATTAAGCCAAGGGCACAATATCGTTCTAAATATTTATAACTCACGATTTTTAAGACAAAATTAAATATTTATATTAAATATTTAATAAACTTTGTTGGAAGAAATCTTCACGGATGCGTTAATCTATTAATTAATCAGTCCGTTGCAACTAACGTAATAAACGAAAGAGTTGCTGATAAAGAAATATTACTTAGAGCTTTAAACGCTCAAGCAGTTCGGAATACACCTAACTGTTCATAAAAACTCCAGAAACATATTCTGAGTTCCATATTTCTTGGTCATAGAGTTCAATTTTGTTTTTGACATGTCGTCTGTCCCTTTTGTTTTCGTGCATCTATCCCGCTCTTACAACAATCGTTCTATTTACAAAACATTTTAAGCGAGGTTGCCATTCTGTGCTGTGCCTGCGCAGGTGACGTCACACTTGCCGTCCCTTTCTTCAGCATATATTGCTTCCCGGTTACACACTACTACGTTGTAGTCATGCTTGACAGGAAAATGTACTATTAATGTTTTAATATTATAAACGAACTTTCCATTTGTAATTGAGTCATAATATATCTAAATTAAGAAAAATATAATCATATTATTGAGTTTATAAAACAATAGATATACAAGTTTTCATTTATTAAAGATATATTTTAGATAAAAAATATGTACGTAGATTTTAAGTCCAAACCACAACACCAAACTCTACCTAGTTTTCAACAACTCTATCACAACTTGCTTGTATAGGTTTCAGTGTTTCTCAGTCTTTCATGTGACTTGTTCTATTGTTCAATAACTAGAGCCGCTCGGGGCACTGAGAGCTGAATTTATATCCAACATATGAATCTACCAAATTTGCATCTCGTAAAACGCTTATGTAAAATGCATTTAAAGAAATATTAAATTCATATATGGAATATAAAATATACATATATTATTTAGGTAGACAGAGTCCATAAAATGAAATAAATGAAAAATTTACCATAGGGAAAACTCTTAAATAACTCCTTATAAAATTTCATCTATGTACCACACAAAAAGTTTGGTAGATTAATCGATTACAAAGAAGATCGATAAAATTTCCAAACTGAACTCTAATAAAAAGTATCGATAGAAATTTGCCATTGATTGAGTCAGCTGTCATATAATGTAGATGTTTAGATACGAGCAACGGATGTTTGGAATACCCGCGAATTATTACCGCTCGCAATGAAATAATATTTATTAAACATTATCATTAATGTTTATATAACAATTGAGGAATACTTATCGAATAACGTTTTGGTATCTTTTAATAACAAAACAAAATTCAATGGTATTCCTATGAACACAATGACATCCTATTTAATAATATATATAAAACTGCTCTATTTATTACAACTACGAAATATGTGTTATTGTAGAGTTTACCTTGTTATTTCACAAGCGACTCATCCTCGCTTCGCTCGGGCTCGTCCCTTTGTATATATAATAACAATATATATAGTTTTACAATAATGTATGAAAGTCTGCCTGATTTCTTGACATTTATGATTATAGCTCCGCTCCCTTGAGTAGTAGCATGATAATATATAGCCTATAGCCTTCCTCAATAAACGGGCTATCTAATGCAAAAAGAATTTTTCAAATCGGAATAGTAAAACTAATAACAAACAAACTCTGCTTCTTTATAATAGTATAGATTTATCATTTTATAACACAGTAAAAACTACTTTTAAGATATGAAACAGGATATTTTATGTTATCATATTTTTGACTTTCTTGCTTAAAAAAAAAGACTCCAAAATAAAAAAAAATAAAAAAAGACTCCAACTATTAAAATAATAATAATAATAGTGTTAGTGTCCATAAAATGTTAAAAGTTTATATAATAAGTATTTCAATATACTATTATTTATTACGTTAACATTTGATTTCAAGCCATATGGTACATATAGCTCTTGCGGAAGCAATCAATTCAAGAACATAATAGGCTCAATAAGGAAGGTGAGGAGTCAATCGTGTCACAATACGGATAACCTTCAAGTTATTTAAATTGTATCGATCAATTGCTAGCATTAACTTTTGAAATATATATATATATATATATATATATATATATATATATATATATATATATATATATATATATATATATCTTAATTATTTTTTATATCTTCTACACTACAAAATTGATGTTTTTTATTTCACTGGTATAAGTTCCTATTTTTAATTTTATATAGCATTATATTAAAAAAAATTATTCAAATATTCAAAACTTATAATATTTAAAAAAATTAAGTAATAGAAACATGTAGCTTTCCCATTTATTATTTTTTTGTTGATAGAAAAATTATTAACTCACACTCTACATCAAACACTAAAATTTAAATCATATTTAGATATGTAATGTGACAGTTAAATGGCTCCTCAAAAGACCATTACATTACAGTTTGGTTTTACATTTACGCCAATATTGTATCACTGACAGATTGATAGACAGGTACGTTGCGTCGTGCCAAATGGTCATGTGAAAATTAGAAATTTCTAAAATCACCAATATTTTTCTCTAACGTTCAAAAAATATTTTAAAACAGACTCTTAGAACATGCAATTTTAGAAGAGGTCTAACGATCTATAATCTACTAGCAGTACCCGCGGCTGCGCCCGCGTCCAAACTTCCGATCGCTAACAAAATTCACACGATCATCCGCTGGGCTAATCTCAAGATTACCTGAAAATTTTATCAAAATCGCTCCTGCTGTTTTGGAGGTCATAGGAAACATACATACACACATCGATTTTTATTTTATTTAATCAACAATATAAATTTATTTATTGCTCGGAAAATGGAGTGAATTATGAAAATTTAGTGACACACCAACTGCAGCACTATCTACTGGATCCATTTGTATTTTCAAACCATGCAGGAACCCATTTGAATATACACACAAAATTTCATCCAAATCGGTCCAGTCCTTTCGGAGGAGTAGGGTAACAAACACACGTACAGAAGAATTATATATATTAAAATATTATATGTACTTATTGTTTATTTAATGTCAAATCATTTTGTTCCTTCTATAAATAATTAAACCTCTGGAAAGTTATCTTTACATATTTATAGAACATATTTTCAACCAAATAGTTTAACAAAAATGTTTCTTACTTTATAAAATACTAGCTGACCCGACAGACGTTGTCCTGTCTACACGTCTTTAATTTGAAAATTTCAAACTTTTTTTAATAAGCTAAAACATTCTGGACCATTTTGATGAAAATTATTATTCAAATTGTGAATCTAAACCATTCTCAGATCCCCTTGAACACACACAAAAAATTTCATCAAAATCGGTCCAGTCGTTTGAGAGAAGTTCAGTGACATACACACTCACAGAAGAATTATATATATAAAGATATGTTTTAAATTATAGCTAAGCGTGTAATTGTGTATAAGAGGTCTCGTTATTGACTCTACAGACTCTATTATAATAATTTTAAACTAAGCAATAACAAATGGATACATTTAAAGAGGACGGATATTTATGAATACCATTCGACATGCATGTCAAAAACTGATCGTAATCTGTCTTATTATTATGTACATCTATTTGAAACTATACCCGACGGCTTTGCCTCTCGCTATGCCTGCTCTCGTACACACCACAAGTAACACAGTGTAAGATTGTTGGAAAACGCAAATAGTGTATCTTACCGTCTGTCTTTCTTACTCGTATTACGCCTGATAGAGATGGCATAACATGAAAGATGGTAGGTCTGATTTCCATGACAATGGCCATTCAAGTTTTCATGTACATTTTCCCTCGCATTTCCAAACCATTTCTATACGGAGAAACTCTATTTAATTCTAAATATAAATGCGAAACCTTATTGCTATACAAAGAATGCTCGAGTAATATTCTAATCAGTTACATAAAAAATTGCACGCATTTTATCATACCTTAGCCATGCAGCTTCACAAAACACAATTAATATTTTATTTAGCTTATACAATAATGGCCTTTGTTTCCATTAGCATTAGTATCATATTGTTATCTAATATTAACACAGTAGGTATATGACTCGCCTACAAGTACTCCCGCCTTGGGCAGGAATAAATATCGGCCAACGTGGTGTAACACGTGTTCTGGCTGCGTGCTTCAAAATCACGTACAAAGTTAACCGTTAGATAATTTCAAACTTTACCCCTTTGTTATAAAGTTT